AGTATGTAGTATGTAGTATGTAGTAGTATAGATACATACCCCCACAACGTCCGTCAAGAGCTTGGTACTACGAAACATGCCCCGAAACGTACCTCGAAGCATACCCCAAAACACACCCCAATCCAAACATGCCTTTTTGACTACAGTTCAGCCGGAATCGCCCATATAGTGTTCGTTGTAGTAATAGTAGTAGTAGTAGTAGTAGCAGCAGCAGCAGTAGCAGTAGCAGTCGTCGTAGTAGTAGTAGTAGTAGTAGAGCAGCAGTAGCAGCAGCAGTAGCAGTAGTAGTACGCGCCGGTCGGGTTCGTGACGGTATAGTTTTGCAGCACGCGGAGGGCTGCAACACTGTAGTTTGCAGTAGTTTTCGATATTATTACCTTGCAGTTGCCTTGGCGCATTTTGAGGTTTTTTGGACACGATCATGAACTTGCCTTTTATCGGTCACGTTGAGGTTTTTTGGACACGATCATGAACTTGCCTTTTATCGGTCACGATGTATCTTTGCCGCAGCATGTTGCAGGATCGAATGGGCATGCCATGTGACTTTTATTTTATCGGTCCCAATGTGGCATAGCTCCAGCATGTTGCAGGATCGAAGCAGTGCAACATGTCACCCATATCGGCTGCAGGAGTAGGGGATCATGAAGCGCGCGCTCGTGAAGGGGTGCAATGGGGGCAAGCAGCTCCACCGGTGCGTAGCATGCGGAGCATGCGACCATCGGGTGGACACGTGCACTTGCCGTGCCAGCAATGAGATCCAGAAGTGCCGATGTTATTTAGGAATAAACGTGTCAACCCATGGGCGTATGGGAAGACACCGAAGAAAAGCCGGTATGCTCGTGATGTTCTGGATTTTTCTAGCGGTGGAGGGGCCGATGCTATTTATGAATAAGCTTGTCAACCATGGGCGTATGGGAAGACACCGAAGAAGAACTGGTATGCTCATAACGCGCTGTACTTGTAGAACAGTGGCGCAAGCCCTTGGACTAATGGGGCGTAGCTTGGACTGCTGTGGCGATAATACAACTAAATCAAAATTCCTCAAACCCTTGGACTCATGTGGCGTAGCTTGGACTAATGGGGCGATGATAAAATTAGGTCAGAACTCCTCAAACCCTTGGATTAATGGGGCGAACTTTGGACTAACGACATCAAGTGAAAATCTGCGAGGAAGACTTTGCTCAATAATCGCGCGGAACCCCATTTTTGCGCAGGTGAAGTGGAGAAAACCGCACCGTCATAAACGTAGCCGAGGAGTAGTAGTGGTCGTCGTCGTCGTCGTCGTCGTCGTCGTAGTAGTAGTAGTAGTAGTGGTCCTAGTATTAGTAACAGTAATAGTAATAGTAATAGTAGTAGGAATAGTAATAGTAATAGTAGTAGGAGTAGTAGTAGTACCACTATTACTACTACTACTACTACTACTACTACTAGTGGTAGTGATATAGTATTAGCGGCAATGGTATGAGGGCTAGTGGTGGTGCCAGCGGTGGGGGCGGCAGAAGCGGTGGCGGCGGCGGCGGCGGTGATGGTGGTGGTGGTGGTGCTGCTGCTGCTGCTGGTACCACTGGTGCTGGTGCCGCTGCCAATGCCGCTGTTGCTGGGGCTGCTGGTAGTGGTGGTGCGGCTGCTGGTGGTGCCGCCGCTGGCGTTGCTGCTGCTGCTGCTGCTGCTGCTGCCGCTGCCGCTGGCGCTGATGCTGGCGCCGTGTTGAATAAGTTGCCGTTGATGTTGATAGCACTGATGGAGTGATTGGCGATGTTGGCAACATGACCATGCTACTCGTATGCGGAAATGGTATTACTGACGAGTACAGACAGCCTACCTGCAAGCTTGTGAAAACAAGGTTCAGTCCTGAATCTCCCCCAAACTATGGTCAGGATGCTCGCCCTCAGAGTGGCAGCGTAGGTTGTACACACTTGGCAGGAAATTTCTTTTGGTTGGTGCACAGCATAGTGTCTCAGTGTGGATAACTTACCAAAATATTAGAATGATGCTTCGTAAGACCGTGCTCGCTTGAGCAGGCAGGTGACATCATCTTCAAGGGCGCCCTGCAGGAGGATCTCGAGGTTTGCATGTTGCGGCGCCTTTGAAGCTGGTCGTGGCTGGTGCCTGACCAGGGCAGTGCTAGACATGCACCCGTCATCTCCAAGATGTGGAGCAACATCCCGGCACATGCTTCTGGGCCGCCAGGACAAGCTACTTCTGCCATCCACACACAGTATCGCGTTGTGTACTAAGGGCTGACCTTTCTAACTTTGATGAACTTGTGCAGCTGTTGCTTTACATGGACAAATGCGGGAGAGACGAACGACTTGCCAGGCCTCCGAGTACAAATTGTGGCAATGCTCAATCGGACTGCGCAGTTCAACCGTTTTTGTATCTAACGAGTTGGATCTTTTGCACATCCGATGCCATTCTGCTACTAGGCATTCAAGACATTGAAGAGCAGCATACAAAAGATGCAGCCAAAGCGATGCCTTACAAAGGCTGATGCCTTTTCCAATTGGATCGGTTGGGAAATTCACCGGCGCATTGAAACTGTTGCCCTTCAGGGTGAACACGCCCAGAGAATATTGAGAGTTTGTGTTTAGCTGTGCCCTTGGCATGTGCTACTCTTCCTGGCGCCTTGAATTCGTGCGCCTTCCCTCCACATTTGGAGGTTGGTTGCCGTTCGCGGGTCGAGATGAGGCAAAGAACCCCTTCAGGAACAGGAAACGTCAAGGTTGAGCACTTGTGCTTACGTTCCCCTGTGGTCGTTTCCACTTTTGAGGTGAGGCGCGCAACACACAATTCGCTTGAAACATGGTAGATCCCACGCTGTATTTATCCAACAGTCTGAAAGACAGACGAGACGAGTCAAAGAGGCGCACTTTGTTTGCAGCAAGGATCTAGCATCTAGCTTGGAATGCCCACCAGAGATACATCAATGATGCTGTTTAGTAAGGTACTGTATGATAGGAATCCTCAAATGATCGGAGGTCCACGCCGTACAGACTATCAAGTGAGATGTGATGAACACCCATGAGGTTCGTGAATCTTTCCGGGCTCCAGCAACACTTGTCCAGCCCCCAGAATTCTACTTTGTTGCATGCTCTGACCCAATGTCATTTCGGCAGATTGCACGTTGGTAAGGATGATGCACCGAAACCTGCAGCACCTCTTCTGCTGGACAATGTGCACCGGCAAAGGGGGCATAGAATGCTGGGTCGTTTTCAAGAAGACATATTAAGACACCCATCCGTTGCCACATGACACAGAGCCTCGAGAGCCGAGGTGCTGTCCAAATTCAAGATGCTGGCTTCGCGCACGGGTCTAGGACCGGCAGAATGGTCGGAGGCAATGCCAAGGCACCAACAGGCACAGAATGCTTGAAGTGCCATGCTGAAAGGCGGTCCGGCCGTACTACCACGGAAAGTCATTCTGACGAACTTGCGTTAACATGCGCCCCCCACAAGGCATGATGCAACAGCTCAGGATACCCTTGGCGCCTTACCAGAAGGGCCAAACAGCTGCCTACAATTATCCGTGCACGCCTTAGCACCTTGTGCTTTAGATGGTTTTGAGCGAAGAAGCGCATGTGTTTGTAAGACTTAGCATGGTTTTGGCTGACGCGTGGCTGTACATCGAGAGGGCAGTTCTCGTACCGCGCGAACTTGCCAATCGTTTTCCCTTGGACATGTGCCCCGCATTAAACAGCATCGTGAGCGTAGTCCTATGCAGTCGCTCAGCCCAAAAATCCCAATGTTCGCTCAGCAGGTACGTAGACCCAGTGTTTCAGACTTCGGATGCGGCGCAGCGCATTCGGATGAGGTCGCTTGCTGTCCATAACTGAAGCCCGGAAATCCATGCAACACGCTGGCAACGCCAGGGGCTTTACGCTCTTCCCGAGATTGCAGGGAAAGATGCTTGGTTGAAGCTGGTGTGCTCATAAATTGTTGGGCGTGTGGACTTTGGAATGGGTTTCTGACTTGTGTATGTGGATGTCTTGGCTGGGACGAAGACGAGGTTTCAAGAAAGGAGGCCAAGAAAGCCCTTATGTGTTTCGGGTTCGTTTCTGAAGTTCAGCTTCAGTAGAAAGCCTCAGAGAATGACAGTAAAAAACGAGTTTCAGCTCATGATCGGACATCGGACCTGCAGGGGTCTGAGCCGTGCTTCTGGTTGATGGCAAGGGAGGGATAAGCCCAGATGTCTCAGCAAACTATGCAGCTCAAGGTCTTATGCGCAGACTTTATCAGTGCACTATGCGAAGAAAAGAAGAAGGAAGCATCGTGGAACCAGTTGGGCTACATGGTCGTTCAGCAGAGCTGAAATGCAACACACGCAACTTAGAAAGTCAACTAGACTAGACAACGACGCAGCGAGTGAAGTGAGCTTGGAAAGCATCACGAGGAAGTTCTCGTAGAGGACAAGAGACAGAGGTCACCCAAATAAAGCGAGAGGCTTTTAGTCAGGCTGCAGATTTTCCTTGCTTGTCGGAGGGTGGTGATGTAACGAGAAGTACAGGCGTGGAGGTGACTCAGATAGGCATGCACGGAATCACGATCAATACGCTTGCGAGTCCGCGTATGGCAAACCAAGCTACGTCAGAATAATTCAGCATGATCACAGCATGCTTCCCACTAGACTGGCTCAACTTTGCAGAGAGGCACACAGACACTATGGGCTGTTGTGTTCGCATGTGTATGAATGAATAAAGATATTAATGCATATGAGCGACGGTGAATACTCACGTATTAGGGACGAAGAGAGGGAATGCCGGGAGATGCCGGAATCATGCAAAAAGCCCCAAAACCGATAGGACCCCCCCAAAAGCTAAACCGCTCAATCTAAGACGAAGCCATGACTGTGTTTCGGCTGAACCCACCCCAAAAGCGATACTTTTCTTTCTTCCTACGCAAAAACATCTAAAAGCGATAGGACACCCCCAAGTTGTCCATGGCATAGGGGTTATACAAGGAGTTCGGCGAAAGCTCATCATACAATACACCTGACAATGCTCACCTCCCCAGAACTCTCGTAAATCTTTCTTTTCCCACCCGCACGTGCTTACTGCAAGGACATAGAATCACCCTACCAGGAATCCCTAACCGCCATTCCTCTGCAGCATTTCAGAAAATACAGGAAGGGAAGCCTGATCAGCTCTTCCTGCGGTGGTCCTTATTCTTATAGCTGTGATGAGAAGCTTTTGTTAAAAGCTTATGATGGAGATTCTTCTGAGAGATCTTTTGGTTAGGGCTTCGATTAAACAGAATTATCAAGAGTCTTGCACAAGAGTCATGCTAGTAACTTCCGCCTTGTAGCAAATCCTCCCAAACATTAAGAAAGGCATCATTGTTAAGGGCCCGAATAAAAGCAGCCGCATGACATATTGAACTACCAGAGGTTTTACACGAGGATCTTTAGGGAGTTATAATGAAGAATCAAAACTGATCAGGGACATCTTTGAGTTCCTCTGAACTCTGATCCTTCAATTGCTTTCTTGTGTCTTTCTAAAGGACCCGTATACATGAAACCATGAGGCAAATGACTGGAAGTTGCGATGTCCTTGATTTCCTAGGCCTATTGTTTATACATACTGGGTCCTTGTTGTTTCGTGTGCCGAACCCAATGGCCCTGTGCCAAAACCACTGTGCCCTGCGGAACGGCTCATTTGTAAGTTTACAAGCATCGCTGTTGAAGGGCATACATTTGATACAAA